TTGCTGGTTGTGGGGCCTGAACTCTGGGCCTGGGCACTGTCCCTCAGCTCTTCAGCTCAAGGCTAGCACTCTACCACTTGAGCCACAGCGCCACTTCGGGCTTTTTTTGCTTATGTGGTGCTGATGAATTTTCATGCATGCAAGGCAAGCACTGTACCACTGAGCCACCTTCCCAGCCCCTCCAGCCCATTTAGTTTTGAAGATGACTGACTAAGGATCTATGTACCAAGGATCTCATATTGTGATGCAATGCTCCTATTGCTGTCCTTAAAGGAAAATGGTGTGTAAAGCACTGGGCTGATTCAGAAAATCTGGATTCCAATTCTAGTTCTAACTCATTTGGCAAATATTTTTGAATGTGTGTTTTAGTTTTCTTGGCTAAAAAAGTTCTATTCAGCAGTACAATTCAAGCAACTTTTCAAATCGGGGAACCTTGAACCTCTGATAATCTGGTTACATGGTTTTATAAGGGCCTTTCCATGCCTACTCTAACCTAACACAACTCATCTTCCAAATAGAAACTAGTTCAGAGGATGAATGAAATCTGTGTGTGTGTGTGTGTGTGTGTATGTGTACCAGTCTTGGGACTTAAAATCAGGGTCTGAGTAGCATCACTGAGCCAGTGTAGGGCTCTGCCACTTGATACTTCTACTTCTGGCTTTTATTTGGTTAATTGGAGATCAGTCTCGCAGTTTCCTGAATCAGCTGGCTTTGAATCCTAAACCTCAGATCTTAGTCTCCTGAGTAGCTAGGTTATTTATTTATTTATTTAGTGCTAGTCCCGGGGCTTGAATTCAGGGCCTGGGTGCTGTCTCTGAGCTTTGGGTCCCAAGGCTAGCTAGCACTCTACCACGTGAGCCACAACTCCGCTTCAAGCTTTTTTAGCAGTTAATTGGAGATAAATGGACTTTCTTGCCCGGGCTGGTTTCGTCGAACCGTGATCCTCGGATCTTAGCCTCCTGAGTAGCTAGGATAACAGATGTGAGCCATCAGCACCTGGCAGGAGTCAGCTTTTTAAGGGCCCATTAAGCAAGGAAATTAATTTTCTAGTGTGACCGCCAGAAGCCAGACATGACTTTCAGACAGCATTGGTTCCAAACTACATTGTAAGATCCGTAGATAGCAGACATAAGCCATGTCTGTCTCTTGCTGCGGCAGAGTACTTGGCTGCAATCAAGCATCAATACCACTGCACGCGCTGTGATTGCCACCACCCTCACAGAGCCTGCAGTCCTCAGACCTCGCCCCATAGACCTCGGACCTCACCAACTGATCTCCCTGGTCCCGCCCACCGACAAGTATCTAGCTCCGCCCTTGTTGCCATGGTGATCTTCCGCCCTTCAACCGCATCCGGAAGTCTCTGAGCCGGTGGGCGGGACCCAGGGGGGAGGCTATTGTTGCTATGGTGATGGCCTACCGGAACTCTTTCCTCCATCAGTCCCCTCCCCTCCCTCCGCCCCTCCCCCCGACCGCTGGGATTCGTCAGACGCCCGCCAGTCCCGCGTGTCCCTCGTTGCTGTGGTGACTGCTCAGCGGGGCGCCGCGGAACTTGAGCCCGGGAGCTCCGAACCTCAGCAGCCACCGTGGGTGAGTCGTTTTTGCTCGCGGTCCGAATCGCCGCCCCTCACCCCATGCTCACAAGTTTCAGAGGGTCGGATCGCGAGGATGTGAATGAGGCCTATGGCCCAGGGCCTGCTCCCTTCTTTGAGGATCTACGCCCCGAGCTGTTCTCCCAGAGCAGGTTCAAATGGAGGACAAACTGACCTTGGTCAGGGCCGCCCTAAGGCAGGTATAGCAAGGGAACTGCACGCGAAAAAGTGATGTTGAATTAACTTGAGCTGGAACCTGTGTGGGATGAGACTTTCTGAAAAAAGGCCTGAAGCCTAAAGTCCCCAGACAACTCAGAGCCTTCATCCTTACTGGCTCCGAGCCAGGGATCCCCTACCCCACCCCTTTTCCATTACCTGAGCTGTGATCCACAGATGGGAGTTTACCTCGTGGGAGGTAAGTTCAGAGAGGTTCAGACACCTGTCAGGAAAAGACCGAGTTTAATGACTCCCATACCATACTGACCACAGATTGACTTCCTGTGTCTACATGGCCTCTGGAATCTGGATAGCCTCCAGATTCCTCTCTCCTGACATAGAGGGTAGCCTAAAATCTGGTTCTAAAACTAATGAAATACGTCTTTACAGCTTTCCAATTCTTGTGGAACAAAAATAACAACCAAGTTGATAGAATTTAATTGATTTTATTCGTGATTCTATAATCGAGCAAAACTCCTATGAAATAAAGTGTTCTGATGAGTAGAGAATAGTTTGTTTTGATTGTGCCAGTAACTAGAGTTTGAACTTGGCCTCACACTTGCTCCACCACTTGAACCATACCCTGAGCTTTTTCTAGTTCTGTTTTGTTTTGACATGAAATCTCATGGACTTTCCTACTCAGGCTGGCTTCAAACTGTGAGACTTTGGATCTCAGCATACTGAGTAGTTAGGAGTCACTGGTACCCAGTTCACAGACTCTCACTTTGTACCCCAGGCTGGCCTCAAACTCCTCATCCTCCTAAGTGCTGGTTGAACCACTGCACTTGGCCAAGATATTGGTTTTGTAGATAGATGGGTGAAAGCAGAAATTAAGCAAAAAGCAAATAGATGTTTAAAGATTACTTTCTTTATAAAACAGGGGACACTTTTTCTTTTAATTCATGCTGGATCAGATAGACTGGGCTCCCATAATTGTTGTGAATCTCTTGGGTTTGTTTTATTTATTTATTTATTTAGGTTCGTCATGGGGCTTTAACTCTGGGCTTGGGCACTGTCCCTGGGGTTGCTGTCCCTGCGCTCTTCAGCTCAAGACGAGCGTTCTACTGCTTGAGCCACAGCGCCACTTCCGTTTTCTATTGGTTTTATTGGACATAAGAGTCTCATGGACTTTCCTGCCCGGGCTGGCTTTGAACCGTGATCCTCAGATCTCAGCCTCCTGAGTAGCTAGGATTACAGGCGTGAGCCACTGACGCCTGACCTTTGTTTTTATTTTTTTAACTGGTCAGGTTTAGAGTTCAGTTTGGTCATGTAGTACCTAGAGTGCATGCCTTCCTTCTGGGTTGATCTAGTCTGCTGGTCACTAATGCAGAAGGCTAGTCCAAAAGGATGACCTCTATAACTTTTATTGAACACTTTTTTCCTCTGGTTAGTTCCACAGATCTCTTAGAAGAATGAAGTCCTCTCTGATGCCTCTGGGTCCTCCTGTGAGCCGAGACCGTGTTATCACCAACTTTCCTAAGGTAGTCTCATAAGACCAACCTTTTTAGTCTTCACTGCTCTTGTGACCATGGGCCTTATCAAGCTTTCCCAGTTTACACTCAGGCAGATGAATTCAAGAAATCTGTCTTTTTGAAAAACTGAAAGACTGCACATTGACTTCCTCCAAAGAAAGCTAGTGGTGATAGAGGCAGCAGAAAAATGGTTATAAGTCAGTTAGACAGTACTAGTTGTGATTCCTGATTCATCCATCACTAAACTGACCATGGGAAATTACTCAATCTCTCAGAGCTGCTGTTACTTACATGAAGATAATGCCACTTCCATTAGATACCTTGCTTATAGTAAACAGGAACTTCTTGTGGGTGTTCCTTACTGTTCTCAGTGTAGGACTCCAGAGGCTAAAAGTGGCTCAGTGATAAAGCACTTGTCTTGCATACACAGATCCTGGGTTCTATCTCCAGTGTGCACATGTACACATGTACACACACACACACACACACACACACAGGAAAACAATGAAACTGTGCAATATGGCTGAGCGAACCTGTAATTCCAACACTCAGGAGATTGAGGAAGAGGGGGTCTCGACTTTGAAACTTTATCTCAAACAACAAAAGTCAGCATTCCCAGTTTCTTGTCATCAAATCCAGGGCTTTCTCATTTGCAGTTCTGCCTTCAGCTTCTGTTGAAATCTCACATCTGTATTACAATCTACTATTAGTTGTAGCAGTCCATCTTCTGTGGTTACCTTGGGACAGCCAATGGCCTTCTAAATCTTTGGATTCTATGCCTAGGCTAGTAATCAGGAAAGAAGTGGCTGGAAGCTCTGGATATTTTGTGTCTGAAGCGATTTCTTCTTCCCCTATCTCCCTATTCCTTCACACACTGGAAGCCTCAGACATTGGACGGTTCCTCTGGTTTTCCATTTTGAAGTTGGGTTGTTTTTCCTCTCTGGGTCTTGCCAATGGAAACCAGGGACAATGGAGATAGCCATTTCATCAGTAGAAAGGAAGTATGATTGGCAGGAAATAGTCTAGGTTGCATGGGATGAAGAACCCTGTTTATAGAACAGGACAGCAAGGATCAGAGAGGTAGAGAAGGTTGCTTGACATCACATAGTCCAACATGGTGGAGCTTGGATTTGAACTGGCTGCCTCTGGCTCCAGAGCTCCCAACTCCAGTGAGGCAGCTTGAGACATAAATCCTGTTTTCAGAGAAGGGTAGATTTCCCTATCCCACCCAGAGGTCACCAGAGACTGCAGCTTACTCCCTTCGGTATCCCAGAGCCACACCATTTCAGTAAAACGTGTGTGTGTGTGTGTGTGTGTGTGTGTGTGTTGGTACTGGGTCTTGAACTCAAAGCCTGGGTGCTGATTCTGGCACTCTACCACATAAGCCACACCTTCTGTCTTTTTGCCCAGACTTTCCTGCCCAAGCTAGATTTGTCTGCCACGCTGGCTTCAAATTCAGATCCTCAAATCCAAGTAGCTAGGATTACCGGTGTGAGCCACTGATGCCCAGCTTGCTGAGGACTTCTTAGATTGGACTGGATCCACATAATGCTTCCCAGGATAAGTCCTTCCATTTTCCTGGCTTTGAAATCAGCTCACATTTCCTACCCTTTAGCCTACAATATGACAGAGAATGGAAAAAGCTAATTAGGCTACCTGACCTCAAGGTCTAGGAAGGGAAGGAGGAGAGAAGACTGTGAAGTTGGTCATCCCTTAATGCTTGGCTCAGTTAACAAACTGCACTTCTTCAGGGCATTATGTCTGTCTGTCTGTTTCTTTGTAGTGGTACACACCTGATGCCTGCCTGCAGCTCAAGGAGCACTTCCATGGGCAGGTCAGCACCGCCTGCCAGCGCAGGAACACAGGAACTGTCGGGTAAGCATTGTGAGGACTTGGGTTGTGGGGAAAATGGACAGAAGGAACGAGTACATAAATGAATATGGGAATGAGCTATATATATATATGTGTGTGTGTGTGCCAGTACTGGGATTTTAGCTTTTTCTAATCAAGCCTAGTACTCTACTACTTGAATCACAGGTCCACTTCTAGGTTTTTACTGGATTAGTTGGAGATCTGAGGATTGTGGTTTGAAGCTAGCCCAGGCAGAAAAGTCTGTGAGACTCTTACCTCCAGTAAACTACTCAGAAAAAAAAAATGGAAATGGTGCTGTGACTCAAGTGGTAGAACACAAGCCTTGAGCACAGAGAGGCTCAGGGACAGCACCCAGGACCTAAATTCAAGCCCCACGACTGGCAAAAAAAAAAAAAAAAGCATCATAGACTTTCCTGAATAGACTGTTTATGAACCACAATCCTCAAATCTCAGCTTCCTAAGTAGCTAAGATTACAGATGTGAGCCCCCAGTGCATGGCTTTCTTTTCTTTTCTTTTTAAAAAATCAGAAGGGCTGGGAAGGTGGCTCAGTGGTAGAGCGCATGCCTTGCATGCCAGAGGCCCTGGGTTCGATTCCTCAGCACTATATAAGCAAAAAGAAAAAAGCCGGAAGTGGCGCTGTGGCTCAAGTGGTAGAGCGCTAGCCTTGAGCTGAAGAGCTGAGGGACAGCACCCAGGCCCAGAGTTCAGGCCCCATGACCGGACCCAAAAATAAATAAATAAAAAATAAATAAATAAAAAATCAGTATACTTTAGTATACTCATCCCCTCTTATCACTATTTTTTACCCACCTCCCTCTGAAAACAATTTCAGTAGATTTCATTGTTCTATTTTCTTTTTTTTTTTTTTTTCTTGTCGTGGGGCTTGAACTCTGGGCCTGGGTACTGTCCCTCAGCACCCAGTCTCACGGACTTTCCTGCCTGGGCTGGCTTTGAACCATGATCCTTAGATCTCAGCCTCCTGAGTAACTAGGATTACAGGCGTGAGCCACCAATATATTTTCATATATTCATGCAAACTATGTCAAACACATTCATCCTCAGCCACCATGCCTTGTTACCCAAAACCCTCCAGCTGATACCCACCCCTCCATCCTATAGAACCTGTTTTGCTTTTCTGTTTAATGTGTATTCATTGTACCAAGGGGTTCAACCAAGATATGTGAGATGTGCACAAGTTTTGCTTTGTTTTGCTCAGATAATCTTCTCTATTGCTTTATCTTTTCCCACCCTCCAAGCCCTTACTGATTAACAGAGTTCACTGAGAATCTTTATGCTATTTTCATACACAGTTGCAGTGTATCTTTTCCCACCCTCCAAGCCTTTACTGATTAACAGATTTCACTGAGACTCTTTATGCTATTTTCATACATAGTTGCAGTGTATTTCAATTATTCACCCTCTGTCCTCTTTTTTTTTTTTCTTGTTGGTTGCAGGGCTTGAACTCTGGGCCTGGGCACTGTCCCTCAGCAATTCAGCTCAAGGCTACTGCTCTACCACTTGAGCCAAAGTGCCACTTCTGGTTTTCTGAGTGGTTTATTGGAGATAAGAGTCTCACGTACTTTTCCTGCCCAGGCTGGCTTTGAACCTCGATCCTCAGGTCTCAACCTCCTGAGTAGCTAGGATTACAGGCATGAGCCCCCAGTGCCTGGCTTACCCTCTGTCATTTTTTATCCCTTTCCCTTTACTCTCATCCTCTTAAATAATTCCATAGTTAAATTCATGTTCTGTGTATATAGATATATACATATTCATATTATATATAACTTTATGTGTATCAGTATATATACATATGTATATGTATATAGACATTAAATGTATGTTTTTATACATTATATGGATATAGTGTCTATATAGATATAGACATTAAAATGTTTGTCTTTTAGGTCTAGCTTCCACATATGAATGAAAAAATACAATATTTTGGGGTTTTTTTAGTTGGCTTGTCTCAATATGTCCTCCAGTTCCACCCATTGTTGTGCAAATTACATGATTTCACTTTTCGTTAAGACTATATAATATTCTGTTATATGTATGTATATATAGCTCATCTTCTTTATTGTTGATTGGTATCTCAGCTGATTGTGCCATTTGGCTATTGTGAACAATGCTACAATAAACATAGGTATATAGATGTCTTTTTGATATATTGATTTACACTCCTTTGGATATATGTCAAATATTGTATAGAGTAGATCTAGTTTGGTTCTTTTGACCATATTGATTTCCATAGTGGTTTCATTAGTTTGCAGCGCATGAGGGTTTCTCTCTCTCTTTTTTTTTTTGTTGTGGTTTGTGGGGTTTGAACTCTGGGCCTGGGTACCATCCTTGAGCTCTTCAGCTCAAGATAAGCACTTACCACTTGAGCCACAGCACCACTTCCAGTTTTCTGGTGGTTAATTTGAGATAAGAGTCTCACAGACTTTCCTGCTAGCTTTGAACCATGATCCTCAGATCTCAGCCTCCTGAGTAGCTAGGATTACAGGCGTGAGCTCACGGCACCCAGCTTAAAGGTTTCCTTTTCCTTGTATTCTCACCAGCAATTGTTACCCTTTTTCTTGATGAATACCATTCTTACTGGAGTGAGGTGGGATCCTATTGTAGTTTATAGCTATGGATATTGAAAATTTCTTCATGTACCTATTAGCCATTTGCATCTCTTCTTCTGAGAACTACCTGTTCAGTTTGCCTGTGTATTTATGAATTAGTTTATTTTTTCTTTTGCAAGTTTTGCTATTGACCCTTTGTTGACTAGCTGGAAAAAGTTTTTTTTTCTCATTCCATGGGTTGTTTTTTTTATTCTGGTAATTGTATCAGTTTCCTGCAAGGTGAGAAACAGTTTGGGGAAGCACCATTTGTTGAAGAAACTGTCTTTTCTTCAGAGTGTGATTTTGAATACTTTGTCAAAAATGTGTTGACTGAGTCTTCTTTTGTGTTCCATGGTCTTCTGCTCTGTTTTTGTGTCAGTACCAAGCTGTTTTGTTACATAGCCCTGTAGTATGATTTGAAGTCTACTAATACTTTCAGCAGCACTCTTTTTATTTAGAATTGCTTTTGCTCTTTGGGGTCTTTTATACTTCCATATGAATTTGGAGATTCATTTTTCTATTTGTGTGAAGAATAGCATTGAGACTTTCATGAGTATTGCATAGAATCTAGATTTTATTGCAGTGGTATTGAATCTAGATTGCTTTTGGCAGTAGAGCCATTTTCAAAATATTAATTCCTCTACCTATGACATGGAAGGCCTTTACATTTTGTTTTGTGGATCCGTTTGAGGAATATTGGTGGTGTTCTTTAAAGGTGTGATAGAATTGTGCAGTGAATCTATCAGGTTCTGGATTTTCTTTGGCGCTTCTTATTGCTTCAGTCTCATTGCTTGTTGTAAATCTGTTTAAGTGGCTTATATATCCTTTTGGTGTAATTTTAGTAGGTCAACTGTTAATTGAACATAAGAGTTTCATGGACTTTCCTTCCCAAGTTAGCTTCAAGCCACAATCCTCAGATCTTAGCCTCCTGACTAGCTAGGGCCTGGGTCCTCTGCTATTATTTTATTGAGTAGGTTCTCAATGCCTTTAGTTTATATTTCTTTATTCTATAACATTGATTCCTAGGCTTTATATTTTGATGGTGTATGAGAGGTCTTGTGAGTTTCACTTATATCTTAAGGTGTTTTTTTTTCAATATTTCTTTGATCTAGTTCCTTTTCTTCAATGCCTGATATCCTGTTCAACTTGTTCTGTTAGGTAGGCTTTCAATTTAGTTTTTTATTTGGGTATTGAGCTCTTCATTTCCTTTTCAAGGTTTGTTTCTTCATTGAATTCCTCTTTTATAACCTACATTGTCTTGTTTATGTCATTCAGTTGTTTGTATTCTCTTTGAATTTACTTAGATGTTTAAACATCACCTTGTTTATTTCATTGACTATTTTTGAGCTCATGGTTTGGACTTTCTTCTTCTCATTATCATTTAAGTCCTTTCTTGCAGAATTGTTGGCCTTTGAGGGAGACATTTTCCTTGTTTATTCATGAATTTAGTGATTCTTCTCTGGAACATGTGCGTCTAGGATCTAGTTTTAGTGTAGAGTTTAATCGCCTGTGCCCGTTTAGTTGGTTATTTCTAACTAGTTACTTAATACTGGGTAGTGACTGGGTTGTGGTATATTTTTGTGTTCCTAGGTTGGAGAAGTGCAGTTCAGTGATCAAATAAATCACTTACAATGCTCAAGGCACTGTCTGTGAAACTCTTCTCCAGTCAGGATGAGGAAGCTTGATTACAAAAGCTATTATAGTTAATAAACAACCTTGTGTTTGTGGCAATCTGTAGTGAAGAATAGTCCCCAGTATCTTTAGATGAACATAGAAGCAAAGATGTATTATGCTCTTACATCGGAGTCAATTTCCCATGTCATAATCAAAGGGGAGGTAACGCTTGGATCTCCTCACTTTTTCTATGGCTGGGGTTATTTCTCTGCTAGTTTCTTTGTGCTTCTTGGTTCCCTTCCCCTCTTTTTCCAGAATCTAGTCTCTTGTGTTAACACCAAGTTCTTCTCTCTCTCTCTCCCCCCCTCAGTCGTGGGCCCTGAACTCTCTCTCTTTCTCTCTCTCTGTCTCTCAGTCGTGGGCCCTGAACTCTGGCTCTGGTCAGTCCCTCAGCTCTTCAGCTCAAGGCTAGTGCTCTACCACTTGAGCCACAGTGCCACTTCTGGCTTATGTGGTACTGAGGAATTGAACCCAGGGCCTTTTGCATGCAAGGCAAGCATTCAAGCATTCTATCACTGAGCCACCTTCCCAGCCCCAAATTCTCTTTTGAGAAGTAAAAATGGCAGCTGCTTCTAATCTGCCAATCTTCCCTGCCTCCTTTATTTTGTTTTTGAGATAGAATCTGGCTAATTTTGCTTGAAATCTTCCTGACTTTAACCTCTCAAGTAGCTGGGATCACAGATGTGTGCCACCACACCCAGCTTATTAGGATTTTTTTGTTTTTGCCAATACTGTGGTTTGAGCTCAGGGCCTGGGCACTGTCCCTGAGCTTCTTTTGTTAGCACTCTACCACTTGGGCTCCACCTCTGGCTTTTGGGGTAATTTATTGGAGTTAAGAGTCTCACAAACTTTCCAGCCCAGGCTGACTTTAAACTGTGATCCTTAGATCTCAGACTTCTAGCTAGGATTGTAGTGCCCAGCTATATTAGGGTTTTTAATCTGGCCTTATTGACATACCTGTGCCATGTGGAACAAACTCATGAAGATGAATTTTTAGCCTGAGAGGTCAGGTCTGGAACATCTTTCTTCTTCCCATAACCTCTCTTTTCCCTTTGGAAATTCCCCAAAAACTTATCATAGAAATTGCAAGTTTGGCCGGGCGCTGGTGGCTCACGCCTGTAATCCTAGCTACTTAGGAGGCTGAGATCTGAGGATCGCGGTTCAAAGCCAGCCCGGGCAGGAGAGACCGTGAGACTCCTATCTCCAATAAACCACTAGAAAACCGGAAGTGGCGCTGTAGCTCAAGTGGTAGAGTGCTCGCCTTGAGCTGAAGAGCTGAGGGACAGCGCGCAGGCCCAGAGTTCAAAGCCCCATGACCGACAAAAATAAATAAATAAATAAATAAAATAAAAAATTGTTATAGCTAGGCACCAGAGGCTCATGCCTATAATCATAGCTGCTCAGGTGGCTGAGATCTGAGGAGGATGGCTCAAAGCCAGTCCAGGCAGAAAATCCATGAGACTCATCTCCAATTAACCACCAGAAAACTGGAAGTGGTACTGTGGCTGAAATGATAGAACACTAGCCTTGAGCAAAATAAAGCTCAGGGACAGCACCCAGGCCCTGAGTTCAAGCCCTATGAACAACAACAACAACAAAAAGTCTATCTCAAACCAGTAGCTGGGCAGAGTGGACAGAGCCTGTTATTCTAGCTAGTGGTACACAACTGTAATTCTTGCCACTCAGGAGGCTGAGATCTGAGGATTGCAGTTTGAAGCCAACCATGGCAGGAAAGTTCTTGAGACTCATATCTCCAATAAACTACTCAGAAAAAGCTGGAAGTGATGCTGTGGCTCAAGTGATAGAGTGCTAGCCTTGAGTACAAAGAGGTTCAGGGACAGTGCCCAGGCCCTGAGTTCAAGCCGCAAGACCAGCAAAAAAAAAAAAAAGTTATAAAGATGATGTACAGAGAGATTATAGTTTCATAAATCAAGTAAAGAGTACATTTCTTTCTGGAAAGTATCATCTCTTCCCTTGCTGACTCCCAGTTTTTCCCTCCCATCCCCACCCACAAGTTGTTCATTTTCAATAGTGTCTGTACCACTGTTGCATTTGTTTGCCCTTTGTCCCTCCGTTTTTTTTCTTTCTTTCCTTCTCTTCCTTGCTTTCCTTCTCTTTCTTTCTTTCCTTCTTTCTTTCTCTTTCTTTCTTTCTTTCTTTTTTTCTTTCTTTTCTTTCTTTCTATCTTCTTTTTTTTTTGGCAGTCATGGGGCTTTAACTCTGAGCCTGGGCGCTGTCCCTCAGCTCTTCAGCTCAAGGCCAGCACTCTATCACTTGAGCCACAATGCCACTTCCAGTTTTCAGGTGGTTAATTGGAGATAAGAGTTGCTCAAATGCTTCTGCCCAGGCTGGCTTTGAACCATGAACAATCCTCAAATCTCAGCCTCCTGAGTAGCTAGGGTTACAGGCATGAGCCACTGGTGCCCGGCTTCTTTCTTTTTTTAATGTATGAGCAGTTTGTCGGGTGCTAGTAGCTCACACCTGTAATTTTAGCTACTCAGGAGGCTGAAATCTGTGGTACAAAGCCAGCCCAGGCAGGAACATCCATGAGACTCTTACCTCCAATTAACCACCAGAAAACCAGAAGTGGTGCTGTGACTCAAGTGTTGAGCGCTGGTCTTGAGCTGAAGAGCTCAGGGACAGAGTCCAGCCCAGAGTTCAAGCTCCACGACCAACAAAAAAAAAAGAAAGAAAGAAAAAGAAAAAGAAAAAAATATAAGAGCAGTTTACACCAAAGGACCTCAATCCAATTTGCTGAGGTCTAGTGCTCCCACCATCTTGGATGTATTTCTTTGTTTCCACAGCCCAACCTGTGCTCTGTTCTCTGCCCCTTAGCCTGTGCCTCAGCCCATCCTCATTTCTAATTCTCAGGATAGTGACTTTGGGCAAGTAGGGTCAAGATTATGACCTGAGAGACAGAAGAGTCTCCAGAACAAATGCAGGTTCTTCCCCCTTCCCTCAAAGGGCCAGGGAAGTGAAGATGGAGGGGCTCAGCAGGGTGGCCTGTCCTTCATCCAGAATGGCAGGCTGTCACACACAGAGCTCAGGGAAGGAAGGGCCTGTATATTGTGAAGAAGACTCTTAAAACCATGCTAAAGGGCAACATGGACATATTTCCCCCAGGCTTAAACTCTCCAAGGTGGTTGTTGTTGGCGATCTCTACGTGGGGAAGACTAGCCTCATCCACAGGTACGTCCTGCCAGCTTCCTCCTGCCCAGTTAGGTTGACCACAACTCCTAGTATCAGGTTGCCACACATTCACTTGGGAGGCCTACATAAATTGTCATTGTAGGAAATATTGTGGTTGCTGGAAACACCAGCCAGATGCGAACAGGACCAGGCATTGGGGAGAAGATGGCATTGACAGCCAGGAATCCTGGGAGGTTGGCACTGATTGACTAGCTCCCTGGTCCCTCAGGCTGGCCCTGCATTGCCAACCCTGGGAAATAGAGCCTCATTTCTCTGTTTGTCATCTGAGCTTCTGCAATCTCCTTCCCCACAGCATTCTTGTTGGCTACCCTGTTGCTGTGGTTTAGATCAGTGTCCACAAGACTGTGGAAGATGGTAGAATCTTTTAAGATGTGAGGCCTAGTGGGAGGTCTTTAAGTCATTGAGAGTGTGTCCCTTAAGGCAATATCAGCACCTTTTTTGGTCCCTTTTTCCTTTTGTCATTTGCTTTCTAGCCTTGAAGTAGTTGATTTTGCTCTTCCAGGGACTCCTGTTATTATGTGCTGCCCTGACACAAGCCCAAAGCCACAGGGCTAATCAATGAGAGACTGGAACCTTCAAATCTCTAAGCCCAAATGAAGTTTTTGGTTTGTTTGTTTGTTGTCAGTTGTGGGGCTTGAACTCTGGGCCTGGGCATTGTCCCTCAGCTCTTCAGCTCAAGGAGAGTGCTCTACCACTTGAACCATAGCACCACTTCCGGTTTTCTGAGTAGTTTATTGGAGATAAGAGTCTCCATGGCCTTTCCTGCCCATGCTGGCTTTGAACTGCAGTCCTCAGATCTTAGCCTCCTGCGTAGCTAGGATTACAGGCATGAGTCACTGGCACCTGGATGAAGTATTTCTCTGAATAAATTGATTATTATAAATTGACTTTGTAACAGAAAGCTGACTAACGCACCTAACCATCCACTGCCTCTGTGGATGCTCCTTTTTTTTTTTTTTTTTTTTGCTAGTCCTGGGTCTTGAACTTGGGGCCTGGGCACTGTCCCTTAGCTTCTTTTGAACAAGGCTAACACTCTCCCATTTGAGCCACAGTACCACTTCTGGCTTTTTCTGTTTATGTGGTGCTGAGGAATTGAACCTAGGGCTTCATGCATGCTAGGTAAGCACTCTACCACTAAGCCACATTCCCAGCCCAGATCCTCCTTTCTTTATAGAGTCTCTATTGGTAGACTTTATTTGCCTGTAGACTATGCCCACTTTTGTAAAGTTACTTCTCTGATGACTTCCTCAACTCCTACAGGTTCTGCAAGAATGTTTTTGACCGTGACTACAAGGCCACTATTGGAGTAGACTTTGAAATTGAGCGTTTTGAGATTGCTGGGATTCCCTACAGCCTGCAGATGTAAGTCACCACTGTGTGCTTTTCATTTTCACATAGCTTGTGGGTGGACTTCCTAGAGACACCTGGGAAAGGGCTTGGTCAGCTCCTCCAGTGTTTTGCACCATGGTGCCTAGCAAGGGCCCATGTAGACAAGCAGAGCCTGGGATGGTTTGAGAAATCAGGCTTCATGACTCCCCAAGATCCTGACACTCCCTTACTTGTTTTGTGTTTGTCTTGGATCTGAGGAAAGACAGTCACAGGCTGGCCTTCCCATTCACCTGCCCTGATGACGTCCTGATCTTGCTAAAGCTCAGGTCTCCTCCCTGGGCTCTGGTTTGTTCCTCCCAAACTGGATCCACAGGGAACTTCCATGACTGCAGAGAAGATAGGGTGGCCTCTGGCAAATCTCTCCTGACCTCTGAGCCCATCCCCACCTGTAAAATGTTCCTGAAGTCAGACCTTTCTCTGAGTCTTTCTCAGGTGATGGGAGATGTTCATCTTTCCCTCAATAAGGGAAGTAACTACTACTTCTTCTTCTTGTCAGTTGTGGAGCTTGAACTCAGGACCTGGGCACTATCCCTGAGCTTTTTCACTCAAAGCTAGTGTTCTGTCTACCACTTTGAGCCACAGCGCCAATTCAGATTTTCTGGTGGTTCATTGGAGATAAGAGTCTCACAGGCTCCCCTGCCTGGGCTGGCTTTGAACCATGATTCTCAGATCTCAGCCTCCTGAGTAGCTAGGATTACAGGTGTGAGCCACCAGCGCCCAACTTAGAAAGCAACTTCTAATCCCGCCAGCCACTTTTGTTTTCACCACTATCTTCACTACTATAGCCATGCCTCTGCCTCTTAATACCCACTGGCTTAGCCCTCTTCCCTTCCAGAAAGCCCAAGGTTTCCCTAGGGCTCACCTTTTCTCACCTCAGCCAAAGTGCCAGGTGTTTGGCCCTTTCCTCCCCCTTCCCTCTGCCACCTACAGACTGCTTCTGAGCTATGCAGGTTCCAGCTGCAAGCACATGCTCTCCTGCATGGCCCCTCTTCCATCTCTGTGCTTCCACTTGGCAATAACTGTCCATTCTTTCCTGCATTCTCTGGGCCTCTGCTCTCACCCACAACCCCTTTCTTCTGTCCTGGGTTCACCCTCTATCCTCCTTGCCCTACCTGAGCCTGAAGATCCTTTTGGTGTCTGCTCCCAAGTCTGCCCAGACAGTGCCCCAGTGCAGTTTTGAAGCTAGATGATATCATTTTGTCCCATAGTAAACAGTCAGTCCAGAGCAAAAGACATGGTGTTTGGCAGAGCTGTGGCACTGAATGGGTTGGAAGACTGAGAAGAGCAAAGAGCCAGTGGAGGAAGCCCAGATGCAGCCCTGCAGAGATGGCTGGTGGCCAGTTTCTCCTGTGGCTGAAGGCTATATCTAATTAGAGAACCCAGGGAAAAGCAGAAAACTGTTCTGCTGTAGCCTGTCAGTGTTTTATGTTGAGATGGGGCCACCCAGCTGGCCCCATCTCCAGACACGCCCACACAGTCTCCTTAAGGGATGAAAGAAAGCTGGGAATGTGGCTTAGTAATAGAGTGCTTGCTGGGTTCCATTCCTCAGTACCACATAAACAGAAAAAGCCGGAAGTCGTGCTGTGGCTCAAGTGGTAGAGCACTAGCCTTGAGCAGAACAAGCTCAAAGATAGTGCCTTGACCCTGACAAAAATAAAAATAAAAAAGAGAGATGAAAGAAAATATGAGTGTATTATTGAAGGAATGTAGCCAAAGACTACATCATACTGGATCACTAAAATTAAAAAACAAAAACCTTCAGACCATTGATATCTTGATTTGTCTTATCAGTTTTACTGAGAAAAGTTAAATTATGATCCATTGGCTTTAACTGGGGATGAAATGTGGAATGGATTTTAGGCTCATCTCTGCATATTGACCACTAGCCTGTCCTAAGTCAATAGAAGAACATCACTGGGCACTGGTGGCTCAATGCCTGTAATTCTAGCTACTCAGGAGGCTGACATCTGAGGATCACGGTTCAAAGCCAGCCCAAGCAGGAAAGGCTATGAGACTCTTATCTCTAATTAAACACCAGAAAACTGGAAGTAACACTATGGCGTAGGTGGTAGAGTACTAGCTTTAAGCTGAACAGCTCAGGGACAGTGCCCAGGCCCAGAGTTCAAGCCCCATCACTGACTTAAAAAAAAAAGAACATCCATCCTAATCCATTTATCCATCTTCTTCTCTTTGATACCATGCCCATCACAGACATCATTGCTCCAGGATTTAGCTTCTAAGTCCATCTTTTTTTTTTCTGATACAAGGACTTGAACTCAGGACCTTGTGCTCTTACTTGCTTTTTCACTCAAGGCTAATGATGTACTACTTGATCCACAGTTTCATTTTTGCCTTTTTTTCTGATTAATTGGAAATAAGAATCTCAAGGACTTTACTGCCTAAGCTGGTTTCAAACCACAATCTCCAGATCTCAGCCTCTTGAGTAGTTAGGATTACATGTGTGAGCCACTAGTGCCCAGCTCTAAGTCTGTCTTAACAGCTCTGGCTTTCTGGTTACCCAGGGGATATAGAACATATCCCTAAAGGTGAAACAATGCCTTAGTCATACACAAACAAATGACTGACACAGCCAGCCAGCTGAAGGCCTAGCCTGGCGCCCAAGGAAGAGGCTTCATTCACAGAGCATATGCTCTCTTACAATGTCAGCCATCATAAGATCATATGCTCCCTTATAGTGTCACAGTCAGAAAGGCCTAAGTTGCAATTCCATTCATCTGGGCAGCTGCCTTTCCCATAGGCACTGTGAATCCAATAGAGAATCCTCTTGAAGTACCTATGAAGGATTAGCTAGCTGGGAACAGATAGAATTGACTCATACAGTTACCTTTTTTAATGCTGGTCCTAGGGCCTGAGCTTGGGACATGGGCTCTGATCCTGAGCCTTTCTGCTCAAGGTTAGCACTCTACCATTTGAGCCACAGCTTTACTTCCATCTTTTTGGTGGATAATTGGAGGTAAGAGTCTCATGGACTTGGCTAGCTTTGAACTGCAGTCCTCACATCTCAGCCTCCTGAATAGCTATGATTGCAGGCATGAGCCACCAGCACCTGGTTCACACAGGCCCTTTTGTGTGTGTGTCTGTGTGCCCGTACACTGTGTGCCAGTACTTGGACTTGAACTCAGTGCTTGGGCACTATCCCTTAGCTTTTATGTTCAATGCTGGTGCTCTAACAATTGAGCCACAGCTCCACTTCTAGTTTTTTATAGTTCATTAGATATTGGTATCTCTTTTCTGCCTGGACTGGCTTCAAACCTTAATCCTCAGTTCTCAGCCTCCTGAGTAGCTAGGCTTATAGATGTGGGCCACCTATGCATAGCTTTCACACAGATACTTTTTTTTGAAGCCCATGTGAGGCTAGTACAGTTGTACAGGTCCTTAAATTTCTCTCCCATGATCTCAGTAGCCTCTCTGCTTAACCTGCCTCTACCATTTTCCTTTCTCTGTCTTTACCTTGCAGCTGGGACACAGCTGGGCAGGAGAAATTCAAGTGCATTGCATCTGCCTACTACCGCGGTGCCCAGGGTAAGCAGCCAATGATGGTGGGGCCTTCACATGCAGCATGAGGCTCTCTGCTGGAATCAGTAATAAGAAGCACCAGTTTGCTGTTCTCCAGGACCCACTGAGGAAATTCCAGTCAGTGCTGGGAGATAGTGGGGGAAGCTGCCTTCAAGCTAGGGCCCTGTTGGGCTTTGGAAGTCACACCTCAGGGAACGTGTGGTGGCGGGTGCTGGCTGCTGGTATCAGCCTGTTTTCAGCTCAGAAGGATGCTCAGAGAGGGTTGTTTGCCAGGGGTTCTAGAAAAGAGCAACCTTAGACTCCAGGGGGAGGAGAGAAAAGGCTTTACCTGGCCTAGCAGTGGAGTTAGGAGGTTAGTCCAGAGATGAAGGAAGGATGATCTGCAGGATTGGCAGATCTCAAGTGAGGAACCAGCAGGGCTCAGTGCCGACTGCTAACATGGCTAAGTATAGCCTGGCACTGGGGAGGGCTTACAGTCAGCAGAGGAAGCAGCATAAGCTCTCCATACCAACCCTAGGAAGACAGAAAGGAATTCCAGTAGAAGAACTCTAAGAAGGACCCCAAATCAGGTGTAAGAATCACAACATTTTCAGATTTGAAAGAAGAAAAACCAGGAAACTCAGCTCAGCCATGTCCACTATGGCTTTTTTTGGCCAGGCCTGGGCACTGTCCCTGGGCTTCTTTTGCTCAAGGCTAGCACTCTGCCCCTTGAGCCACAGTGCCTCTTCCAGCTTTTTCTGTTTATGTGGTACTGAGAAATAGAACACAGGGCTTCATGCATGCTAAACAAGCATTCTACCACTAAGCCACATTCCCAGCCCACTATGGCCTTTTGAAACCTTCCAGCCCCTCTAGGCCTCTCTCTTCCTGAAGGGATGCTTCCTTCCTGGGGCTAGTGGTGTGAGGTACTTTCACATCTCAGCAAACAACAGCTGGGCTGCCATCATGAGCATGCTCAGGATCCTCCTTCTCTTTGCGGGCCTCTAGAGAGCAGGGGCTCCCCATTAGCTCCCCAGAAATTTGAGTTCTCTGAAGCTGGTTGTTACTGTCCTCATCACAGTCTTAACTGCTACTAGTCCTAGGTCCTAGGACTACTAGCTTTTCAAAACAGCTGTCCCTGCTTACCTTCATAGTAATTCTGAGAACTAGAGGTATCCTTCTCACCATTTTATCGTTTCCTCACCAGATGGAGAAGCTGAGGTGCTTAAAAGTGAAGGCCCTCACCTAAACTTCCTTTGTCCAAAGTGGAAGAAATTCTCTTTGGCAAAACTTATATGGGCTCATGTGCTCACTATCTACCTTGTCCTGCCTCTCTAGATTTCACCCTGGGGCTCAGTACAGGAAGGAGAGACTAGTGGAAGAATTTTTGTTCCCCGGCCTCCACCAAGAGGTCCAGGGGTGAGTGCCTTGGGGCTGCCCCAGAGATTCCCCATAGTCTGGAAAGGTGAAAGATGCTGGTAGGGAGCCTTCTTTGTCATTGTTGGCCCTGCTGGTTGTGATTGGTTGTTGGTATTTCCTCCCATGTCCAGTGATCATCACAGCATTTGACCTCACTGATGTGCAGACTCTGGAACATACCAGGCAAGTAACCCAGGCTCTGCAACCTCTGCAGGGTCCCCCAGGTTCCAGAAGCTTCCTGGAAGGACTCTCCCAACTTAGGCTCCTGAACTGGCCCTTTGAACATAGATTTCAGTGACGGGTTCTCACTTGTGAGAACCAATTTTCCATACACTGATCACTAACTGTCTTACTCCCCTCTGACTAAGACTTGTCCCTGACTGCTGCTCAGGTACTCATGAGCCAAAGTACCAACAACACTTGCTTTACTAGGCTATTGGCATCATGATATAAATCCAAAGCAATTTTTAATGAAGAGGCCTCATATACTCACTTTGCCCTGAACCCTGATAACCCTGAGTAGGGTTCTGGTTCTTGATCACCACTGATCGGTGCCTTTTATCTCCCCCAAAGTCCATGAGACCCTATTGGCTACAGATTCTCCTGAGCCAGTGTGGACAGTGCTCCCAGCCTTGTGGCAGACTTGAGTCTGCCCCCAGATCCCTAGTCTTCCTTGGGCCTCCCTGGGAGAGGAAGGTGACATCTCTCAGCCTGTCATTCTGTGCATTCCAGGCAGTGGCTAGCTGATGCCTTGAGGGAAAATGAGGCGGGTTCCTGCTTTATCTTCCTTGTGGGAACCAAGAAGGACCTTTTGGTGAGCAGATTGAAGCTGGAGGCCTAGGTGGCTCTTGGGAAAATGCCTGTGATTTTGTCTTAAGTTGGAGGTATGGAGGTGGTGCTTATGGGCCATGGGCCTTAAAGTAGAAAGAAGGGAGAAGTCGAGTTCTTCTGCCAGGGGCCTTCTCCCAGAGATCTCCCCGCAGAAGGCCTCGAACACGAGGCTATGAGGGCTACATCTCCCAGTCAGGGGCAGCATGTGAGCAGGCTGAAGCGGAAGCTGTCCACCTGGCCAATGAGATGCAAGCTGAGTACTGGTCAGTGTCAGCCAAGACAGGTGAGTTGGGGCCAGAGGATGTCCTAGAGCCAGTCCTGATGTGACTACCATGATACAGAAATTCTTGTGTACCCATCTGCAGCTTTGGTCATGTTGGCATGACAGCCTAGCTGTACTGGTGGTGACTGGCAGTGCCTTCTGTTGCCTGAGAGGCATCTTCCCTCCAGAGGTCTAATCCAGGGACAGAAAGAATTGTAACCCTTTCCATTCCTTGCCAGACCACCATGTTCTCTAGCACCCCCACCACCACCTTGGGTCACCCAGTATCTTCAAGCCTCTGTCTCCTGCTGTGGGAGGGAGTGACTGGCTGATGTCCTGAGGGCATCTTTCCTGCCCTGTGAGGACCCATTCTCCTTTATTACAGTAACAGAAAGTTCACTGAGATCTTACTATGGGTCAACAAGACTGCCCCATGCAGTAGGATAGGTTTTAGTAGCCCAAGGGTCTTGTTCACATTGGGTGCTAGAACTCTGCTTCTTCCCTGATAGGCAGCTGCCTCTACCTGATGGAAGATAAACAGATGTCAGTCTTCAACACATGGGTTGTTCTAGTAGAACAAAGCTTGAAGTTCTAGGCTTCGCTGTCCTCAGTCTGTCTTGAGCTCTACCTGTCCTAGCATCCAGCTCATAGCAAGTGTTCCTTAGCAACTGATTGGAAGAGTAGATGCTAGGAACTGAAAGCTTGGATTTGAGGGAATAAATGGGTGAAATCAGGAGAGAAGCCCGGGTGGAGGTCTCTGACCACATGGATGTGTAGGGCTGCACCCTTCTGTGGTCACTGTTACTGCCAGAGATGCTCTAGAAGGGGCCATAGCCAACCTGAGGGTGGACTGGCCTGGCTCCTGTACCCACATGCATCTAGGGAAAGCAAGAGTCACAGCTATCTCATGGGTCCCCAGGAGAGAACGTGAAGGCATTCTTCAGCCGTGTTGCTGCCCTGGCATTTGAGCAGTCAGTTCTGCAGGACCTGGAGAAGAGGCACAGCACCCGGCCTCAGGTCGGCGACGGAGACCTCATTCGTGCGTATAGGCCTTGCTGATGAGTCTAGGACACAGCCTGGAGGCCGGAAGCCATACCTACCATTCCCTTCACCCAAGACCCTGCCATTCCTTTACCTTGTTCTCTTTGACTCCTAATCTCTGAGCTGTCACCTGGCCTCAGGCTTACAGCCTCTTCACCCCATCTGTGAGGCCCTCCTTGGCCCAGGCCAGGCATCCTGAGCTCTGTGGATAGATCCTGGCTTTGGCTCTCCCAGTCCATTCTGTTGCCCACTCAGTTCCACTACCTGGAATGCCCCACCCAGGCCTTTTGCCCTATGCCAAGTCCTCTAGAAGAACGGGTCTAGAGATCAGGCTCAGGGCATCAACTACCTGGGTAGATAGCCCCTATCCAAGGTCAGCTGCTGGATGCTGGATTCATGTTCTTTTCCTCTCCTTACAGGAATGGAGGGAAGTATATTAGAGACCCAGGACAGCAAGAAGCCCCCCACCCTGAGCTGCTGTTAGCTGGGCCCAGTGTCAGAGGCATCTACTTTCTGCATGGGCAGTGGCTTCTGTGACTTTTGGAGGGGTGACATGGAGTCTAAATTCTGCGGTGTTCCTGTACTCAAACTGTGGTGGGTCTGTCAGGTGGCCTGAGCTCATCCACTTCTCTTTGACAGGCTGGGAGCCATTGGCTGCTGAGTGTTCTGCACTGCCTGGCTACTGGGGCACTTCAGTGATCTGAGAGACCAGTCCTACCTGCAGGAACAGCAGACAGTCACCGGAGTCTCTCAAGGCCTCGGTTCTGCACTAAGAATACCACAGTGCTGACCCCACGTCCCTCACCCATGGCCCACATTGGTAGTCAATAATGGTGCTGTGTCCTGGAGATCTAGATAGGGCCTCAGAACTGTTTCCCTTGCAATGTTCCAGGAACAAGGACTTTGTCTGAACTGAAAGGAACCCACCGCTGTCCCACTTGGGAGTTTTCTATTATCAATATAATTTGAAATTCTGGGTCTCACTGTTCACTCACTGGCCCTCTACCACAGACTCTTAGACCCTGGTAGCCCTGTTGCTTTCAAGGGCAATGGACAAAAAAGAAGGTCTCTCAGGTCCATCTAACTGATCTCCATTCCCATTACCTCTGAGATCCCTGTGACTGTGCCCTCCAGGACAGTGGGTAAGGACAGCAGAATGAGCCTCTGGCTCACCTGGAGGATGGATTTCTTTTACCTTGCTGGGAGATGAAGATTGTATAGCTGCTCTTCAAGTAACTCACTCAACCTCCTTTGAGCTTGGCATTGCCCTGCTTTGTTGTCTATGCCATGCCCACTGCTCCTTCCATTCCTCTCTCCACTAGCCTGCATAACTCTCAGGACTACACATCTTTGAAAAACTTCAGAGTATCTAGCACATTCCTTGGTTCATTACTTCCTCCAGTACAACCCAGGGCAGGCAGCACTGCCACCCCTGTTCTCTGCCTAGAGGATCTGCCCTCCGCACGCCCCTGTGTCACTCCTCCTCAGGGTCTGCTCTGACTTCATTGCTATACCCTCCTTCTGCCATTGGCAAGTGAGTGCATCCTGTGTCCCTGTCTACTTCTTGTTGATGATGAGAATTTGGGGACTGGTGTGCCGATATGCACCCTTCTCCTAGTACCTAGCACATCACATCCAAGTGATTGCCAAATATCAGGAACACTGGCATGTTTCCCTGCCCACTATCCTTTGGCTGAAATTGTAAACATATAACATATATATGCATATATATTTATATATATGAGTGTATGTATGAAATGCCTTTTTATAGAAACCACTTTTTAATTTTTATTGTTATTTTAAAGGTGACATACAGAGGAGTTGTGCATTTCTTTTTTTTTTTTTTTTTGGTCTGGTCGTGGGGCCTGAACTCTGGGCCTGGGCACTGTCCCTCAGCTCTTCAGCTCTTGAGCTACAGCGCCACTTCCGGCTTTTTTCTTTTTGCTTATGTGGTGCTAAGGAATCGAACCCAGGGCCTCATGCATGCAAGGCAAACGCTCTACCACTGAGCCACCTTCCTAGCCCCTGTGCATTTCTTTTATGACAATGTCCCTCTACCTCACAGAATCACTTAGAGGAATTACATGCTTAGTGAAAAATACAAGGTAATACCAAAGCTAATAAAATGTAGAATGGAAGTTCTCCCCATGTTCATCACGCCTCCCAAAGTAAGCATGCATGGCTAACAGTTGGTTTGATGCCTCTGCGTTATGCTTCTGCACGCATACCACCATGGTGATTGGCTTGTGTCTCTAGAGTGACCTTGTGCTGTGCACACTGCCTGGCAGGCTGTCTTCCTGATGGCTACCTCCGGCCCCTCTCATACACTGAGCTTACATTTCCTTGGTGTGGATGAACCATCCTTTATATTACCTGGCCTATACATGTGTCATCTAGTTTGATTGGCTAGTTATCAGTTTGAGCTCAGGGTCTCCTGCTTTCTAGACAAGCATTCTTCTACTAGATCCATGGCCTCTGTCCTTGCTTTCAGTTCTTTTTTTTTTCCTCAGTAGGGGCTCCTGCTTTTGTGTGGTATGGGGCTTAAACCAACATCTTCCTACCTCTACCTGAGTAGCTGAGATTACAGGCATGGTGCTTCAGTGGCCATCCTTGTACTAGAGCTTTGAACACTCAAGAGTCCCAGACAGAGTCTTGCTGGGCTCTTTGCTTTATTTTCTTGTTTTGTTGTTACTGTGTGTGTGCCAGTACTGGGACTTGAACTCGGGACCTGGGCACTGTCCCTTAGCTTTGTCATTCAAGGCTCTACCACTTGAGCCACAGCTTTTTGGTGGTTGTGTGTCAGACTTGTCTTCTTGGTTTGCCTTTGAACCTTGGTCCTCAAACCTCAGCCTCCTAAGTAGCTAGGTTTACAGGAATGAGCCAGTGGTGCCCAGCTTTGGTTCTTTTTTGTGGTTGTGGCCTATTCCACTAGACCACACTGGAGATCTGTTAATGGAGGTGCTTAGGTTGGCAGGTTATAGCAGAAAGTGTCACAAGGTGGGAGTAGCCAGCCATGGCTGCTTTCCTCCACCTACCCTTTCCTTTGGTTTTCAGGCCCCAGGAGGATGGGTCATCCTGCTATCACCAGATCCTAAGTTAGAAGGGCACTGTTTGATGTACACCTACACCTCTGTAAAAGGTCCTTCATTAAACTACTCATGTTGCCCACTGTGGTGTGCCAGCTGCTTCCTCTAGGAACTAGCTCACTATCTCTAGTTTCAAAATCTGGCCAGAAGCATGAAGACTAAGCTCACCATTGAAAATAAAAGGAAGAGACTCCGTTTCCCTGTTGGCTAACATGGTGTTGTCTTAGAGTGTTAATGCTGCTTCACCTCAGTATCTAATGCCAGGTAAGTTATAAACAATGAGATGTTCATTTGGTATAGAATGATCACATTCCTAGTTTACTGGCTCCATCTCAGAGTTTTGTTTTTTTATCTTTTGTTTTGGGGTTTTTGCTTGTTTGTTTGTTTTTGTTGGTCGTGGGTCTTGAACTCTGGGCCTGGGTGCTGTCCCTCAGCTCTTCAGCTCAAGGCTAATGCTCTACCCCTGAGCCACAGCGCCACTTCCAGCTTTTTCTGCTTATGTGGTGCTGAGGAATCGAACCCAGGGCCTCGTGCATGCAAGGCAAGCACTGTACCACTGAGCCACCTTCCCAGACCTGTTTTTTTTTTTAATCTTTTGTTTATTTGTTTGGTGCCCATCCTTGGGCTTGAATTCAGGCCCTGAGCTTTATCTGCTGAAGGCTAGTACTCTACCACTTGAGCTCCACTTCTGGCTTGTTGAATGGTTAATTAGAGATGAGTCTCACAGACTTTCCTGCCCACACACTTTAAACTGCAATCCTCGAATCTCAGCCTCTGAGTAGCTAGGATTACAAGCCACCAGTGCCCAGCTTCTTTCCCAACTTTCTGTCCATCTCTCCATCTGTGTCCTCTCCTAGAGACATCTTCCTGTCCCTAATAGCTTAGGAGGTAGAGGTCTGAAAAGATGGAATATTTGAATACCTTCTTCATACTCCCGGTCTTACTCCTACCTCTGTCCTATGCTGGCTTAGGTCTAGTCCCAGTAAGATTCATATTCCAGATGGCTTTACCATGGGTGGTTGGGGAGGGTTCTGCATTCCTTAGATATGTCCATTTAGATGGTCTCAGTGCCCTGCTGCCCAGAGATGTGACTGCATGGCTCAACCATACCCAGTCATCCTCAGATCCCCAAGTGGAGCCCTTTCCTATCACAGCCTGCTTCCCATGACCCATGGTGTTGAGAAGTCTCCTCCCAGCCCAGCAACCACTGTGACCAAGGTGACCAGGCTCTTAGTTCCAGCCTCTCTCAGGCTTGTGTCCAGCCCTACTTCAGACCTCTAGAGTGAAGAGAAGGCTGTTAGAATCCATCCAAATCACACTATAGCCTGGGGGAAATGAAATGGGAACTACTCCTAGATGAACCTCACTGAACACCCAGATGCCTTAAACCAGGATGACGCTTATGGTCCTCTAACATGTAGGTAAAGGAAGCAGACAGAAAATAGATTAAATTCACATGGTCACTCATGCACTTCGTGGGTATGTATGTGTGTGTGAGTGTGTGCACACATGCACACATTCACGCACACACGTGCAAGCATGCTGGTATTAGGGCTTGAAAAGGCCTTTAGCTTTGTTTTTTGCTCAAGGCTAGAGCTCTCCCACTTGAACCACATCTCCATTTCCAGCTTTTTGGTGGTTACTTGAAGACAAATGTCATATAGGGTTTCCTGCCCAAGTTGTCAAACTGTGATCTTCAGATCTCAGCCTCCTAAGTAAGTAGCTAGGATTGCAGATGTGAGGCACCCCTGCCTAGCACATTCACTATGATTATTATTATTCTTTGTTGTTGTTGTTTTGAGATGATGTCTCAGTTGTAGCCCAGGCTTCAGCCTCTGAGTACTAGGATTACAGGCATGCACCACCAGTTTTTGTTTCTGGTCCTGAGGCTTGAACTCTGGGCCTGGGAGCTGTCCCTGAGCCTCTTTGTGCTCAAGGCTAGTGCTCTACAACTTGAGCCACAGTGCTACTTCTTCTTCTTTTTTTTTTTTCTGTGAAGTTTATTGGAGATAAGAGTCTCACAGTTTCCTGCCTGAGCTGGCTTTGAACTATGATCCTCAGATCTCAGCCTCCTGAGTAGTTAGGATTACAGGTGTAAGCCACCTGCACCTGGCTACCACTAACAATTTTCATTCATGAATTCCTACATTGCCTTTTCCCAGCCCGGTCCCCTGCATTCTCCCATTTACTACTCCTAGAGTCCACATGGCAGGTGACAGAACAACCTGCTTCACAGGTGACCTGACTTTAAGTGACTCCTGGAGCCACACAGACTGGGACCAAGAGGCAACTCTATCCAGTTATAGTCCTGGGCCTCTCTAAACAATAATAGGTAGACACACCATTCTCGGCCTGAGGAAGACTATAGAAAGGACCTGGAGACAGGAAGAGTAGACCTGATTTTGGGGGGCGGGGAGGTGGAGAGTATTTTAGAAGAAGAAACACAAAGAGGAGCTTTTCTTCTATGTAAGAAATTATTCTAGGATGGCCCTGAGCCCCACCTAAGAAGCCCAGGGCTTGAGGTACTGTCCTAACATACAGCCCCTTCCTAACAACTCCAAAGGCTCCTCTGCCATCTGCTGTGACATCCCCATGTCTCCTCCCATATGTTAGGCCTTCCCCTGAGGGAAGCTGATGGACAGATGGGAAGTGTGGCTGTCACATTGCCTCCTTCCAGGCAGATCCTTCCCAGCCTCTAAGTCCAGATGCCTCCCTGGCATTCAAGGATACTAGCCACCTGTCTGAGCCTGTGCCCCAAGCAGGTGTTAGCTTTTCAATCAGCCTGCCCACCTCTCAGTGGTCTGGGATGCAAAGCAGGTCTGGAGCTCTTTACTACCATGGATGGAGGGAATCCCTGACCTGAGGGTGTTCTAAGCTGCTGGAAGTCAGACTGGATATCACACTGGCCATAACAGGAGCAGAGCAAGTTTGTTTTTATCTCAGCCCCTCCTCTCACTGCAAAGGCTACAAATAGCAGTCAGGAGATTCCACTGGGATTCCGCTTGGATATAAGAGACCTCATCAATAATTCTGTAGAAAGCAGGGGACTTGGTGTGAAGGGACTTGGGAGGAAGGTCTGGCATGCTCCACTGGGAATCTTGGCCAGCAGTTCCAGAAGATTCTCTTCTTACTTAGCAAGGATGTCCTAACATATCCCTGCTCCCAGCTCTGGGCCAGGGGTTCACAGACCTGGGGATGGGGGTGCATTGTCCAGCACAGCACCAGCAGTCAAAGCTAGAGAACAGTTGTATTGCTGACCTGGTTTTCTGTTCTTGCCCCTGGCTCCCTAGGGCTAACAGATAACAGATGATGGGGAGGGAGGGTCACGTGGTCATATCTCGCTTGAAAGTTGTTCTCCTTCAGCCTCTAGCTAGGCTAGAGATGGTAGTGCTGACCACACAGAAGGAGAAAGGTTTTGGAGCTAGCTCTGAGTATGTCCTAAGGCAGAAAGCCCTGCTATATTTAAGGGGCCCCACCATAGCCTGAGGGTACAATGGTCACTTGTTTGGGTCTCTGGTAGGCTGAGCTCAAATCTGGGCCTCCACCTATTGCTGTGTGATGGGAAGGTCACTGTCTCTCTGAGGTCCCATCTCTGTGCCTTGTTGAAATGGATGGCTGTAAGAATGGAAAGGAAGTGGCACTGTGGCTCAAGTGGTAGAGTACTCGCCTGAGCTGAAGAGCTCAGGGACAGCACCCAGGCCTGGAATGGAAAGTAATTTATGTCTGT